ACGCTAGAGTAGACTCGCGAAAAGTGTATAAGACACTTTTAAGATCAACTAAATAGCTAAGCCCAAGGGAAGTCGTTCGGGGAGGCCCTCCCTAATTCCACAAGGGTGAGAAGAAACACACACGATAACGAAACGTTGAATCATGTAGAACTCGTAGGGTAAATGCAAAGCAAAATAGGAAGAATATGCAGTAAGCTAAGCGAAGAGGTAAGCAAGGTTAGACTATACTACAACTACTAAACGTGTTATTTCTACTACTACACTACTACAACATAAAAAAAAAAATAAAAACATCTACAATCAACAATTACTTCAAATAAAATGAACAAAAACAAGCATGCAAAATAAAAATTAATTTAAAAAACAAATAAACTACAAAAATACATGCAAAATAAAAAACTAATTTGAATAAAATGAACTTGATGACTTCTACTACATAAAGCATGCAAGATAGAGAACTATTTTAACTATGGGGTCATCTTTGTCTTCTCCAACGTCGATCTGCAACAGATACGGTGGTAACAGATTAATAAAGAGCAATTGAAATTAATTATATCAAGCATTCTCACCTTCGTTAACTGTAAACTGTAACGTTCCAAAGTTTGCAGGTGTGGAAAGCAAACCAAACCCAAGAGGAATACAATGGCAGAAAATCTGTCGTTTCAGTAGAGTTCACATACATCTCCAGTTGCTTTCACTCATCCGTTGAGAATTAACTGCATAATGTTGCAAGGTGGAGGCGAAAACAGCACATCAAGAATATGGTTCACAAAAGACCACACCCATATGGACATTGCTTGTTTCAGTACAACCAAACTGAATATTCTCTCTCATTTGTTGAACAATCTGTAAAATTGGACAAAAAAACATATTAATTACACTACTAATGCAGGAAGGAATTAATAAACACATCTAAAAACACGCACCAAAAATCAAGCAAAACAGTTGAATTATAAAATGGCGACGAGTGTCAGTTTTACAATATGACAAATGTGAAATAATCATAGATATCGTCAATTTATGCTGTAAACTACAGATAATTGCTAAAACAAATAATCATACATGCAACCTAACTTCAATTTATGCCATGAACAATAGAAAATAGAAGCAAAATCATAGATACACATCAATTTATATTGTGTATAATAGATAACCATTAATGAAAAACCACAGATGCTAGAGACGACAAATTACTATGAACATCGAGTACCAACAAAATCAAAATAAACAGTAAAACAGTTGCTTACCGAGAGGTTTACTGAACGGTGCTCGAGTTTTATTCCTCAGCGTTGACAACAAGGAAGTGAAAATGTTTAAGAAAGGAAAACTAATGCCATTGATGGTGAAATAAGCCACATAGCAGGAAGATAGAATATCGCACCGCAACCATATATACGTCAGTGTAAATCGAATTGCATGTACATTTACATCCAAGGGGAGGGAGCTTTAAAGGGCTCCACTTCTGCAGGTTTCGAAACCTTACTGTTTGCCTTCTTGTTCATTTAATATGTTTAAATGAATTCCTGTTGAAACAATTTAATGTTAGTTTCATCTCACATATTATGTTTCACAATATTAAGAACTGCAACTTTCACCAATCAAATAATAGACTACTATCAAACTCAATGATTACCCATTACAAATTACATAATATAATATAATGCCAAACAGGCATTAAAAAAATTTGAATGGAACAAGTGCATGAAAATTGAAACTAAAACTACTTTTCTTATTGAAACTTGCCTGTACTATAACAAAGCAAAACGTGATGTTCTGAAATTTTCAATATTGTAGACGAACAATACAACAATAATAATTTAATGGTGAAACAATTGTTGTGCCTACAGCAAATAAAATTTCTTGAAAATTGGAATTTATATTAAGTTCCTATTATTATGTGGGCATGTGTAACAAATCAACTAAAGCCCCAAAAATGCTGTTAAAGGATTTTTTATACCTTCTAGTCCTAGAACTCCAAATGTATCCAAAATAATCAATTACATGTTGCAAACTCATTCTTTAGTAATCCACATCATGCTGTAATCATTATCCTTATTCCCAGGAGAGGAAGTCACTTTCATGACTCTTCATTGAAGCTACATGGANGAACTACCACAAGCATCAGGTATGTACTTTACTTTTATTTAATTTTAATATTAGACCACTTTTTTTACATATTGGCAAGAATTAGTGGATTGAAGTAAAATTATTAAAAGTTAAAATCTTACACAAAGTATTCCAAGGGTGTCCATTAGTGTGGAAGGAATGACACATCTCGGTCTTCACAGTATTATTATTATTTCATTGTAACATAGACCATTCCTATGCCCCTTGGTATTGTAAGGCCTAGTGAAAAACAACAAATATTTTAATTAGATTACAGCAACTATGTACTTCTTCTATTTAAATAAACCATCCACATACATATTTAAAGTAATAAATTAATACGTATGTATCTTACTTTCAACTTTACAAAAACGTTTAAACAGTTGTCAGAATGTTTCAAGTTTCAAATAAATGGCATTACATATGTATTTATCTTCAAATAATTTCAATCATCTTACCTAACCACAAGGTCCTTTAAGACATCAGCAGGAAATAAACCATCTCTGTAGATTGAAATTCTGAAGGAAAAATCGTTTTTAGGAGCAAGAAATAATGTTTTCTTACGTGTATCTGTGAAAAGAAAAAAAAAAAGAAAAGCAAAAAAAAAAAATCCGGAAAACAAAAAAAAGGTTAATAAATGAAGGGTAATTTTGTTACCAAAGGAACTTTCTAAAATCAATTTTTTGTACCGAACTGATAACTATTATTAAACATACATAAACAGGTCTCCACAGTTTTGCTAGATTATAAAATATGGCGGAGCATACTAGATTTACTTAGAAACTTAATCCATGAGAATCGTCAAAATATTGCGATACCCAATAATAAAAAAGCACACAACAGATAAAACAGTAATTCTAGAACCTATTGCAATAGAAATTTGTTATTTACCAGGACTTTTCCAAAACTTTATTATCAAAAATGCACACAACATATAACCACCAAAACTAACAAAGCGTAGAAGCAGCAGTACACCACTGAGCGAGAAGGAAGTACGTCATTTGATCATAGATAATAGATCTACAAAGGGTAATAATGATAATCTCGTTGAAGATAGTACAAGTTGTACTACAAGTTGTACAACATACCACATTTACTTTCTTTATTTGGTAATGAGACTATCTGAACGTTACCGAAATTGACACAAGAGGGCGCTGCAATGTCATGTCCTGTCTGGACTGGCGCGAAATATTTAAAATTCTAAAAATAATTTTTGAACTGTTAAATAGCAAATACGTATAAATCTTTTAATGTTTCTTCAACAAACTAATTTTTAAAATAATTAAGTGATGCTGAGTTTTAATAAATTGTATGCCTGAAAAAATTTAATTTATAATTAATAAAAAAGAATACTAAATGAAATCGTACCTTCCTTTCTATCCTTCATATGCAAATTGTTCAAAATGCTAAAACAAAAAGAAAATTGTTTATCTACAGCTCTAATCATAAAATAATATATGGTATATCAATTGTAACTTGTATAAGAACTTAGGTTATGTAAGTAAATTAATCCGTTAGAAATTTTTAATGTCACAAATATGGTTAGACGGTATTATATAAAAAAACTCCATGCAACTTTTAGTTTGAGTTCTAATTTATTATTTCATTTGCATTCATTAATTTCTTTTATTTTTCTGATTCATTTAATTTTAAGCGTCATTATATATTGTATAAATTAAAACACTTCATATTTCCTTTTTACGGTTAAGTGGCTAAATAATAGATGATGCTCCGATGTCATACTTCATAGTTGTCAAATATCTATCTTATCCATAGGTAATCTTATCTATGTTATGTCTATGTCAATATCTATTATCTATGGTCAAAATCGTTCTTAACCTATAAAGAACATTGATTTTATTTAACTTTTTTATGTTTTTCTCCTTAATGTTATTATAAATGTAAAGCAGTTTGTGTATAGTACACTAAGGAAATATTTTTAAAATAAAATGAAGAGTCCTAGTAACGGGAATGGAGGTTTTATTCCTTGTCAGGTGCAACTTGAAAAAGTCATAGCACAATGTCATTAACAGAAAATGTGGAATACAACAAAAGAAAAGAAGTATGAAAACCTGCCGTGCAAGATAGCAGCTTATATATATTAGTCGGACTTTAATGTACAAAATCACTTTTCTAAAACCGAATTAAGATCAATGTCTTTAGCTTCTTCTGTTGCATTAGTAATTGCAAATGAAGCGTTGAAATATGCAAAATGGATTCAATTAAACGAGTCTGATTTGGAATCTACAGGTGTAGCTGTGGGTATGGGGATGGTAGACTTGCCGTGATATTTGTGAAACAAATGCTGCATCTTGTAAAGGAACTAGTAAAGTTAGCCTTTATTTTGTCCCTATAATTTTACCAAATATCTCAGCTGGACAAATTAACATTAAATATGGTTTTAGGTAGGGGCAAGATTATGTTGAGAAAATTTTAATTTTGTCAATACTGTCGATGGCTAAGTAAAACCTGCAAGTAAACATGGAATGAATTTCAAAACTTGTAAAAATATAAAAGAAAATTAGAGCATGTAATAGGTAAGTAATTTTTGTTGCTCTTTATTATTCTATTAATTTTTGATTTTAAACAGACTTTGCAAAGTTGCTGAAACACCCTAAGGATACAATAAATTAACCAATGTGAATACACCAGTTTTTATACGACCTTTTTTCAATGCTATTGTTCATAGATATGGTGTCTTTTTTGGACTGCATTTATTGTTTAAAAACAAAATTGAAAAATTTACATTTACCGTTGTAGGGGTCCAATCATTCTGTTTCGACGGAATGTGCTACTGGTGCCCATGCAGTAGGAGATTCGTTCCGTTTTATTAGAAATTATGATGCTGACGTAATGATTTGTGCAGGGACAGAGGCATGCATTAGTCCTTTGGCTATACAGGGTTTTGTCAGTTGAGAGCCTTCAGCACTTCTTTTAACGACGATCCAACCGACGCATCTAGACCATTGGATAAGAGATAGTTTTGTGATGGGTGAGGGCTGCACCATCCTGGTCCTCGAAGAACTAGAATATGCCAAGCAAAGAAACGCTCGCGTTTATGCTGAAATATTGGGCTACGGTTTATCGGAGGATGCGTATCATTTAAAGACACGAAGGCCGATGGTTAAAGCGTAGTTTTGCTGCAGGGAATCTAGAAGCTGTGTTCACTATCAAAGCATTACAGGAGGGAATCCTGCCTTCCACAATCAACCTAGAGGATCCTGTTGAGGGTGCACCCTTCAACTTTGTTACAGAATTAAACAAAAAATGGTACTCTAGAGGTCGCAGGATTGCTCTGAAAAAGCATTTGGTTTTAGAGGCACGAATGCTACAATATGCTTAGCGCAATTTGAAGAGTAATGTTAAGAATTAAAAGTTACCGTTGTAATAAAAAACTTAACTAATTGTAGTTTAATAGATAAACATATTAAAATTTCAAAATTAATCTATTATACGCGTATATTTGTTATTTAAAACACAAGTGATTATAAGATTTACGTTTTATTTTAATTACAGATACATGAGGCAGTTACATTTGCCGATATCAATAAAAAAACAATCTATAACAACAACAGTTTTGGAATGCAACAAATAACTCTCACTTTTCAATTTAATTAATTTGAAAAAATAACTGATAAAGGCACACCTCTCAATTAAGACTTGAAGCTTCTTAAGGAACATAAACATTCAATCATTAATTGGCACTACAGGAGTGTTAGATTTCAATATTTTGATTTTGACCGAAAAAAACGTAGTGCAGGCAATAAATTATCATTATTTAACAAAAGTAAAGTTAATGAGTGCGTAACTAGATTGTTGTTTATTAAATAAAGTAAAAACAGTCGGTAAAATTCACATTTTTATTGCCAAAAACGATCCGAAGGTACAAATCGATTTCTGACTGAAAAAAAAAGCGCAAGAGAAAACATTTAGTAATTTAGCAAACGAATGAATTAAGGGAAAAAGACCCGGAAAATTCACGTTGTTATAGCCAAAAACGATCCACAGGTGTTAAATTTTGATAAGGTACCGGATACATTACGAAATGACATTTGCAATGAAACTTTGGAAATCGAAAATTTCTAATAAGGAGAACATAAGATGTTTGGGCAATTAGACAGAAATTTGCGGGGCAATACAGTTGTAACCTGTAAATGTAATATTTGACTATCGCCTCCGAGATGTCGCCTCAACTACGTGTGATACAAGGGACTTCATATAATTTTCTAACTGAAATATGGGGGACAATCGAAAAGTTTTAACTAAAGTACTTTCTTAAAATTGATTTAACGGCTTTTATGTTTACATTATGTTACATTGGCAATTTCGTTATGTTCAATGTATTAATTTGAACTCTGCTGTTTCAGGCTGAAGGTACTAAATAGTTTTATATTCGTTGTAGCTATTACACTTACATGGTTTCTATGTTTTAATGTATATAACGACGGAGAAGAATAATGCATTCAAAACTTTCACTTGTTATGGTTGTCCATGCAGTAATTATCATCTCTACATTATAAAGCGAACTGCTAGTTAAACCCTTTAGTTTAGAGAAACAAACATATAATACAGATGGCAACTTATAAAAAAAATATATATATAAAATTTAAAACAAACCTGTAATGAATTCTACTGTTGGTTGATTGAAGATATTCGAAAAACTAGTCCAGGTGCTTATGTAAACTTTTCAGATGGTCTGCCGCTTGTCCAATAGTGATGATGAACAGCAGGGATGATGATGTGACTGCCTTGCAAATTCTACAAGTAGAGCACATGAGATACCACAGTAAAGTGATTGCATGTTAAACGGTAGAGGAAAGGCTACCATTTTACTTCCCGTTTCCACAGCAATTAAAGATGCACGTTTCCCAATTTATAATCTTACATGAAGATCCATCTAAAATTATCGGTGGTTTTAACTTTGTACCGTATCTTCAATCTGCTTCATAAAAGTCATCAATATATAGGTTCCAACTAAACTGTGAACCCTATTTCGACCATGTTCCCATCAAACTGTAGAGCCTGAATTAAATGTATAATAAAAAAATTCATGTATAATTCTACACCATAAGTTGGTACTTACCAATCTATAGACCACTCCATGTAGGGACCTCAGTAGTCTACACTTTGTCATTTTTTAGTATTACTGAGTACTTGTTACCTACTTAATAGATGATCTCACTTTCTGGTTTTAATTATTTCAGTATTTTTTATTTGTTCATAGGACAAGATGTATTTATTACCATGGGTTATTTGGAACCACAAGTTAATTTAAATTAATTTTGAACATCTGTAGCAGTAATAAGTATTACAAATAGCTGTGATTTTTGTATTTTTTAAATGGTAAAAAATGAGGACGTATTGGAGAAGTAAGACAACATAAGGAAAATAAGAAATAGAAATAATATGGTAGGACGCCTTTTGAGACTTCAAGAGACCCATTATAAGCAGAAACAGGAATAAAGAGTGGCAGAGTTAGAATTAGAGTTCGTAAATAATTATGATGATGATCGAAGCCCCACTTAATTACTGCTTCATACTTCCGATTTGCTACAAATCTAAATGAAACGTATATCTCTCTCTAAACAATATCAGGAAGTACGTGCATATACAAATAAGATAACTTTATTATTAACAGTGGAACTAGGAAATAGCAAATTTTATTTCACACTGGTAATATCGTTTAATCAGAGATAAAATATTTTAATAATGGAACGGCAAATGCCAACATATGTGTTTTGCGGACGGGAAGTTAATTCCTTAGAACTAATTTCTGCTAAACTTATCCACCCGGATTTATACCATTATTGGAAAACTAACAAAATTACTCTCCTTTATTTTGCACATAGCTTGTTATTAAACCACATCGTTTTCCGTAGTATTGTTTTTCATTAATTAAAGTTCAAAAAACTAAACAAAAAATGGACCGTGTCAGGCTTCTAATGGTAGGGTAAGTACCAAATTTTCTAAGTTCATATATGTATATTTTTAGGAATTTTTGATTTAAATTGATTTTTGATCTATTTTTATTTGAAAAAAAGAAATGGTGGAAATTACTTTTTTATTCACTTCTTAATCATGCACTTACACATTGCACATATTAAACTGTTTTTGCTCTATAAATACATTGTATAAATCTTTTAAAAAATAATCTATTCCCAAATATGTGCTCCTATTTCAATTATTAAAACAATTCGTTAAAGTCCACGGTTTTCCAAACAAAAATTATTTTTTTATTCAACACGTCAACTCTTTTTTAACAATCCCACACATAAACAGCAAATTTACATTACGACAATTATCATTTTGCAGATTTACCAAACACTGCGGAGGCGATATTTACGCACTTCCCAATGATGAAAAACTAATAAAACTGGAATATGTTGCGTACACAATTTTAAGTCCCATCATAATTATCGTGGGGATTATTTGCAACTGCATAAACCTTTTAGTCCTGAGTTACCCGTCAGTGATGAAAGGGGCTGCCAAAATTTATTTAAGGGCACTGGCAATAGCAGACCTGTGCGCTCTTTTGGGCCTAGTACCAGTACTACAAAGATTGAACAAAGTTCACAACCAAACCCTCACTGCTGCCTTTTATTACGCTCATCTTGAAGTTTTTCTCGTCGAAGTATTTATCAGATTCAGTACATTTATCGTGGTTTGTATGTCATTCGATAGATATTTAGCAATCTGCCTTCCGGAAAAATTCAACGATTTTCATTCGACGAAATTCGCTCTTAAACTTGTGGGTTGTTGTTTTGTTATTGCAACGATTATAACTTTACCCCTCATCTTTATAAAAGTACCTTGCATTTTGACCGAGAGGCACGGCTTAGAATTATGGGATACAAAGGAAAATCCAAAAGTAACGCACCACTACTTATGGAACATTTATATTTGGTGCTACGAATTGATAGCAGCATATGGGGTATTTTTGATAATAGCATTTTGTAATTTGAGCATCATAGGTCGTTTTCAAGCATACATGAAAAAGAAAAACGAACTTCATAACACTACAGCGCAGACCATTCCTGAAAATGGGGCCATTGTGAAGTCAAATGATGGAAACGTTTACATTCAAAAAAGAAAGCAGAGAGAAGAAAATCGCTTAGTGTTCACGCTTCAGTTAATTGTCCTTTTATTTTTCCTTACCATGACTCCATCGGTTGCCCTATCAATTATTTACTATACCACCCGAGACATAAGGGATTTCTTTCGCTTTTCTGTTTTGAGAGCCGTTGGCAATAACTTACTAATGCTGTATTTGACGTTAAACTTTTTCATTTATTCATTTTGCCACAAACAATTCCGTATTGCAGTTAAAAAATTGTTTTGCAGATGTTTCAATTTCAATTGAATGTAATTACATTTAATTGTAAAATAAAATCTTCAGCATTTTTTATCTTATTTTATTTATTCATAAGGTCTAAAGTCGCGAAGAAAGTAGCTCGTAAAAAAATTCATTAAGTAATAGTAAAAACCAAACATGTACAAGCACTGACTAAAAAAAATCGCAAAAAAAGAATTGAAAAGATACCACGGTGTATCCCAAAAATTGTCAAGGATGGTACAGAATAGGTTCCAAAAATAATCGAGCTGGAACACCAGATGCACTACAAAAATCCACATTTAGGGAGATATCATAGTAAAATTCTTTCAACCATATCTATCTTAGGGTATCCAGCCAATCTTTGAACCATGATAATGAATTTTTATGCAAGATTGTGTATTTTTACCGAAAGCTCTACGAGGAAGCTTTTGCAGAAATTATCAACTAAAGCCGTAAGATACTCGAACGTGCAGCTTTAGTTTGAATATAAAGGCACTCATTAAAAAATTGGCCACATTGCATATTTATTTAAATAAGATATACAGTAAACAGCCTGTTGAATATTTAGTAAGATAATACAATTTTGTCGAAACTGTTTAGAAACCATGTCGTAAACACAAGTCTTAAATACGCCACTTAAATAGTTACCAGTTTTCTGAAGCATTTTACAACACTAGCTAAACGTTAATTAAAAAATGGGCGATATGTAGGATTCAATAATAATTATTGTAACATGAATTATAATTATTAATAATAATTATGATGATGATGATGATAATGCAATGACAACGATAATAATATGATTAATAATAATAATAATAGTATAGTGACTATGGTGGCAATGCTATAATGGAAAAAATAATAATAAAATGGATGAAAACATAAATAAAATATAATTTATTATAATAACATTATTAGTTCATCTTAACTGGCTAATTAATTGATGGAAAAGAATAATAAAACACGAAAGGCATAGGAAGGGGGGGGTGGGGAACACAATCCATTATCTTACCATTTTGCGCAGAAAGTAGCTATTTAATATGTATTTATGTATGTATGTATGTAAGTATGCATGTATGTATGTATGTATGTATGTATGTATACAACTTTTTTCTTTTTTTAAGTGGAATATCTAATTATTGTATTAGATTATTAGCTAAAATATAGTCATTTGGCGAAAGCATAAATGCAAAATGTATTCCTTATAGAATTTCCTATAAAACCTGCTCAATATGAGCAAAAATTATATTAAAAGCAATACTGCAGAGACTACTGAAACGCAACAGAAAATTCAAGAGAAAAAAAAAAGAGAAACGGTCCGTTACACTATTTAAATTATATCATTTAACAATAACAATAGGGAATACCATGTATAATATATAATATTTGAAGCGGAAATAAATTGCCTCTGCACATTGCTTATAAGCGGGGAAGAACAATACATTGTATTATTTTTTTTTCGTTTTACGTTAAACAATAAGCTTCATTATTTTAGTGACTGACTGACTTGAAATTTTCATTTGTGATTAATTTATGCTGAACAGTGCAAAAATCACATTAACACTGTATGTGTTATCGTAAGAAATATTACTAATACATAATTAAAATAGTAACGTTGCTGATGTTTTCTTTGCTTCTTACCTATATATTGGTTTTCCTCGTGTCATTTTTAAACTATGTATTAACTACAACTGTTTATTTTCTGGTTAAGTGAGTTTTAACCAAATGCAAAGGAATCATATTATGGCAAAAAAAAAGAAAAAAATCTATTTTACAAAATGACACTCTTGTTAAGATTTTTTTGAGCGGCTTTGATTTTTATCACATGGCAGGAGCTCTAACATTTAAGAATCCCTTTATTTTATTATTACTAACATTAATGACAAACTATTTCTTTAATATAATTTTCAGGCAACTTCTGAAAAGTGTTCGAAATGACGCAAAATATTAACATCATAATTATTAACTTTAGCAGGAACAGGTTACGGGGTCTGTTATATATTTATTTAATAAACAATTTTAAATTTACTTTGTGATATCGAGGCATTTCAAAAAAAAATATCTAACGAATAACTTATTAAATTGAAAACTATGTACGAACCCCTAATTACCTTTTTTTACGATTATTATAATTCGTTAAACAAGAAAACTATTAAGACGAGGTAATATAATCAGGAACTTATAATTTTATCATGGTAATTTATCTTCACTAGTCAATAAGACATTGTCAAAATTGTTAACAAAACTGTAGAGCTGATGGGTTGTGAATGAATAGTTGAAGAACGAATTCTTTAAAATTGTGAAAGCGTTAAGATAAATTATTTGATTATAACAGAGAAGCAATATTACTTTATTGCCTAGCAAAAATAAACCGCCCTGCATAATAAACTGCAAACAGAAACAAGTAAGCAAAAACCGCGCAATATCTACTGCTTCTTGATCATTAATATTACCCTGTAAGATTTAGAAAAATATTCAAAGACCAACTATCACAACGTGAAGCATATAACCGAATATTTCCTAGGACTTATTTAGATGTTATTAACAATTTTGTTTTGATTATGTACTGTAAAATAAAACTTTCCAATCAAGTTAAAAAAACGCTTTGAAACTTTTTAATTTACGAAAAAAGTGTGGCCAAGTACTTTTTTGTTATAACACAATTACGCAATACTTATATTACCCGATCAAAAAAATGTCTTCACAAACGAAGCAGTCCGGAAAACTTTTTAGTAACCAATTTTCTGATGACCGTATTGGTTAATTAATTTGTTTAATTGCACTCTGGGAAGTATTGAACAACCAACTTAACCATTTTACTTGATTAAAGAAGTTTAGAAAGGAAATGAAATTTTCACACACAGAAGAAAATTATTTAGAATCAGTGGGCGCAAGCCTCAGCAAAACTGTAATGGAAGAGCATCCTTGATACACAAACTAGCTTTTTGTTTTCGGAAGCCACTTAATTAGTTACAGCCAAATTATTAAAAATGACTTCAATCGAAAAGACGAAATGAATGGTCCATTCTTTTCCACACAAACAACTACTTAAATAGAAAAATTATTAATGCAATAATTATAATGATTCATATATTCTAAGTGTTCAGTCTCAAAAAACGGAGCGAAAAAACGAGTATTCTTGCAATTTTTTTTGAAAACAAAAAAAAGAAAATAAAATCGACTGCAAACTCTACCAACAGGTTATTATCATCAACTGTTAATTTATAAATAAACCAATCAGTTACATACTGCAACAGCACAAATTTGGCCATAAGGCACACAACTAAATGCTGAAAAAAGGAATCGACTGTTTTCTTTTTTAAATTTAATTAATTAATGTTAATCCGGCTAAATGAAATGCTCTTTTACGGGAACTACGCTCGTAAATGTGAGGTGTATGTGAGTGTGTAGTTTTTTATAACAGAAAAAAAGAAAATCGCAAGTTCTAAAATAGCCAATTTCTAAGTATAAAACTATTTATTACATATTAAACAGATCACATTTATATGTACCTATTTATTACAAATACCCCACAATCACCGCCTCCACCAGGCTGCAACTATTTTTTGTCAAAGTTCAATAAACTGAAATACCTACTAATAAATCCCATAACTGCAGAACAGGTCACAACTTTGGATTAAAAACACTAGCATTGCAATGAAATATTCAAAATAAAAGAAAAATATTAACTTGGAGGCTTTTCTAATAATTCAAATAAAACAGAATATCCTTTAAAAATAACGGGAAATTAAGAAAATAAATTAAGCAAATGGAAATATTTTGCAGTGATGGGAGATTAAAAATAAAAATCAAATTAACTTTACTCACTCATATCGTTTATAGCATTTGAAATCTCAATAAACCCTCACTAACAGCATAGGGTCAAAAATTCCGATATGATTTATCACAAGTATAATGATTCAGTAAATCTCAAATCGATCACAAATACAATATCGGATATTGGTGAATGCCACCAGAAATGATTGAAAGATGATTCTACCACCGCTGCATGTTCTACTAATATACGTAGATACTAAACTTTCTTGTTCTTATATGAATGGTGCCAATACTGATTCGTTACCAAGTCTACGTGTTCTTATTGGCTGTTACTTAAACGGAGTTAGTATGACGTAATGATGTAACAATGCGTAAGAGCGCAGACGCAGTAAATAGTTTACTGATGTTAACAGCCATACGGTGGTACATTACAATGTGAAAAGAAAAAGATAGAAAAGGGAATGCATTGCAGCCCGGTAAAGTGGAATGCAGGATCGACAGTCCACTGCAGATGTCATCAGAACTTCTTGATCACAGATAAACACATGGTCACATGACTAGCGCACCTAACCTATCAATGTCCAGCATTACAGTCTTCGATCCTAAAGTCTATAAAAAAAGGAGAACCGGTCTCAGTGTTCGCAACTTGAATGCGACGACAGCCTATATTTAAAGGAACTCTTATTTTTTTTTTTAATTACGAACGAACAAGACAACAAAGAAACTGACATACTTACTATTTTATAGTTTTCTTTTCAAAGACTTTTGGAACTTAAAAATACTAATGACGAGCGAATTGGTGTAATTCTAGCACATGACAATTATTAATTGCGTTCGCCTACATTTTGAGTACGCAACTTCCTACTTAGACAGATAAAATTTTCGCTTACGTCAACAGAAAACTTGTCTCTAAATTCAGCGTTCTGTTAGGAAGGTCTCACTTGCTAATCTAGGAAGTTTGGTATAACTTCTAAAGCCATATCACAAACAACTTTAAAAATACATAAAAGCTTAAATTGAAAATTTATAATCGGACGTGAAACTATGTAGAGACCTTTAAATATAGTCACTCGCAATTACTACGATTAATGCAAGTAATTACTTAAAACATATTTTACGAGTAGCAACACTGGAGATGTTTTCTTCTATTATACAAAGCGCCGGCGCCGGTTGTATAACGACGCCGACAGCATCAATAGTGACAATTGTTATTATAATTATAGTAATAATTAATTAATAATCATAATAATAATTATAATGTAATTTATCGCGACGGAAACAACCGTCGACTTCAGTTTTAACGGCAAATAATTAATAATAATAGTAATAATAATCGAATTAGAAGTAAATTAAAATTAAGTGTTACTAACTAGGTAGTCTACACTTTGTCATTTTTTAGTATTACTGAGTACTTGTTACCTACTTAATAGATGATCTCACTTTCTGGTTTTAATTATTTCAGTATTTTTTATTTGTTCATAGGACAAGATGCATTTATTACCATGGGTTATTTGGAACCACAAGTTAATTTAAATTAATTTTGAACATCTGTAGCAGTAATAAGTATTACAAATAGCTGTGATTTTTGTATTTTTTAAATGGTAAAAAATGAGGACGTATTGGAGAAGTAAGACAACATAAGGAAAATAAGAAATAGAAATAATATGGTAGGACGCCTTTTGAGACTTCAAGAGACCCATTATAAGCAGAAACAGGAATAAAGAGTGGCAGAGTTAGAATTAGAGTTCGTAAATAATTATGATGATGATCGAAGCCCCACTTAATTACTGCTTCATACTTCCGATTTGCTACAAATCTAAATGAAACGTATATCTCTCTCTAAACAATATCAGGAAGTACGTGCATATACAAATAAGATAACTTTATTATTAACAGTGGAACTAGGAAATAGCAAATTTTATTTCACACTGGTAATATCGTTTAATCAGAGATAAAATATTTTAATAATGGAACGGCAAATGCCAACATATGTGTTTTGCGGACGGGAAGTTAATTCCTTAGAACTAATTTCTGCTAAACTTATCCACCCGGATTTATACCATTATTGGAAAACTAACAAAATTACTCTCCTTTATTTTGCACATAGCTTGTTATTAAACCACATCGTTTTCCGTAGTATTGTTTTTCATTAATTAAAGTTCAAAAAACTAAACAAAAAATGGACCGTGTCAGGCTTCTAATGGTAGGGTAAGTACCAAATTTTCTAAGTTCATATATGTATATTTTTAGGAATTTTTGATTTAAATTGATTTTTGATCTATTTTTATTTGAAAAAAAGAAATGGTGGAAATTACTTTTTTATTCACTTCTTAATCATGCACTTACACATTGCACATATTAAACTGTTTTTGCTCTATAAATACATTGTATAAATCTTTTAAAAAATAATCTATTCCCAAATATGTGCTCCTATTTCAATTATTAAAACAATTCGTTAAAGTCCACGGTTTTCCAAACAAAAATTATTTTTTTATTCAACACGTCAACTCTTTTTTAACAATCCCACACATAAACAGCAAATTTACATTACGACAATTATCATTTTGCAGATTTACCAAACACTGCGGAGGCGATATTTACGCACTTCCCAATGATGAAAAACTAATAAAACTGGAATATGTTGCGTACACAATTTTAAGTCCCATCATAATTATCGTGGGGATTATTTGCAACTGCATAAACCTTTTAGTCCTGAGTTACCCGTCAGTGATGAAAGGGGCTGCCAAAATTTATTTAAGGGCACTGGCAATAGCAGACCTGTGCGCTCTTTTGGGCCTAGTACCAGTACTACAAAGATTGAACAAAGTTCACAACCAAACCCTCACTGCTGCCTTTTATTACGCTCATCTTGAAGTTTTTCTCGTCGAAGTATTTATCAGATTCAGTACATTTATCGTGGTTTGTATGTCATTCGATAGATATTTAGCAATCTGCCTTCCGGAAAAATTCAACGATTTTCATTCGACGAAATTCGCTCTTAAACTTGTGGGTTGTTGTTTTGTTATTGCAACGATTATAACTTTACCCCTCATCTTTATAAAAGTACCTTGCATTTTGACCGAGAGGCACGGCTTAGAATTATGGGATACAAAGGAAAATCCAAAAGTAACGCACCACTACTTATGGAACATTTATATTTGGTGCTACGAATTGATAGCAGCATATGGGGTATTTTTGATAATAGCATTTTGTAATTTGAGCATCATAGGTCGTTTTCAAGCATACATGAAAAAGAAAAACGAACTTCATANAAAAATACGTATTATATAATTATATATGTAGAGGTATGTGTATAAAACGCATGAAGAAGAAAATTTTAACTTTACTTACTTTTCGTGCGTTCAAGCCTATAATTCAAAAGTTATAAAAAAACTGTTACGTTTTAAATAATGCGATATATAACAAAAATGCAGTTAACAAAAATAAACCTGATAATTGCTTCTTGTCACTTGTTTTCAATTCGATCACGTTTGTTTTTCAATAGTCGATCGAAACAAACTGAATTATCAAATGACAATTCGCAAATTATCGGCAAATGATAAAAAGGACCACATTGAGCTTTACCTTAAAGCTGAGAGAATTTGTTTGCACCATCTTCTCCAGGCCTGTAACGGTAACCTTTTCACGTTACGTTTCGTACGCTTCAAAAACTGCTTCAGAGATCCGGACGACATGTATTCCGTAATAAATATTACCTGGAAGAGACAAATTACCTTGCATATAGATCTCAGTTTTATATTTCTACATTAAAACAGAAACATTTGGAAATACAGTTTGAGTCACAATTTTTGAGTTAAATGCGTTTAAACCGTCGTAAGTTTTTTGGGGTGGGGGGTCACATAAAAAATTAAGCACAAACTAAACAGGAATTAAATTGCAAACCGGATAAAGTAACTATGATATTCAGATAAAACACGAAATGTAAATCAATTCAGTCATATTTTTTGCGGAGAAGAATCATGACCCAAAGGATACACTTATCCTTATTTACAAGTCTGGCAGTGACATTATTTGTGGATATGTACTTAACTTTTGATAAAATAGAAAACACCACAAAAGGCGCGGTAAACGCCATCTGTAGTACGATGCTACATTTTAGGATTACGTATGCTTCAACAAGGTCCATTTAAATATATGGATATCTACCTGCTGAAACGAATCCCGCCGTAGCTAACCTCAACGTAATAGGCACGTTACCATACTATATTACACGTACACGTCGTACTACAGATGGCGTTTACCGCGCCATTTGTTGTATTTTCTAAAACGCGCTGTTAAGACAGCAGGTAAAAGTTGGTCTGTGTTCTGTCGGAGCTGCCTGCGACGCGCTGATGAGATCCAAAAAGATCAAAATCGCGATCCGTGTCTGGCAGTTTCGACAGAATACAGACCACTTCGAATTATTTTATTCGATTATGGTAACGTGCCTATCACGATGAGCTTGGCTACGCCGGTATTCGTTTCAGCAAGTAGATATCCATATATTTAAATGGACCTTGCTGAAGCATACGTAATCATAAAATGTAGCATTGTGCTACAGATGGCGTTTACAGCGCCATTTGTCGTATTTTCTAAAACGCGCTGTTAAGACAGCAGGTAAAAGTTGGTCTGTGTTCTGTCGGAGCTGCCTGCGACGCGCTGATGAGATCCAAAAAGATCAAAATCGCGATCCGTGACAGAATACAGACCACTTCGAATTATTTTATTTGATAAAATACTTTATTTTAGGAATATATGCATCACCCTGTATATTTAGTGAATAAACAAGTGCTGTCTGGATGCAAATGAGAAAATGACATCATGTTATAAGCTTCAATGGCTTTGAATCACCGTTTTAATTGATTGATATCGTTCAGTAACAAATTCCAGTGGCGTAGATACACCAGCGTTTCACGACTTTCTTTTAAAAAATGCTAAATTAAATGGTTTGATTCTTACCCTAGGTTTATCGTTGTGTGTATCGGTCCAATATCGATGAAATTTAACGATATTGGGATGTTCGAGTTGTGTGAGATTTTCAAATACGAGTTGAATTTTCTCCTCCTGGCTCTTGAAATTTTTTCTTTCCGAGAACTGAACCTCGTTCCAAACGACCTCAACTCCTTCTTCGGTGTCCATCGCTAAATATGCACAATCAATGCCTGGTACATCCCGTTGTTCAACCTGAAAAAAACAGTAAACGCAATTTAAAAGAGGGCCAAAAATAAATGCATACAAAAGAACAAATCTAAATTTGAAAACTGTTCCTGCTGCTTTCATCTTCGTCAAAAGTAGTGCTAATATTATAGATTTATTACCTATGATTGTACAGTAACGTACAGGCATAAACGTTGGAAAGAACGAACTTTTAAATTCTTGGTCACAAATTTATAATAACTACTAGACGCGAATAGCAATTTCGATCTTATTAGACCTCATTAACTCGCCATAGGTACATCCGATTAATCACTAGTTAAAACAGAAGCTCATTTAGGGATGTAGGGAGAGGGGTACGGCGATAGCATATTCAGGAAATTCGATTTACTGTAGCTTGTAATTTTTATTAAGAAAATTCCCCTTCATAAGAACAATCGATAAATGAATAGATGATGGCCCCCACCCCCTTCGAGTGGGATCGAAGAAGGGGGTCTCCCCTACTACTGTACCATAAAAAGTTTGTGGCGGTCCCACCCCCATAAAAAGTTATGGGGGTTAGATGGGGGTGGGGGTAGGGGGGATCGAAAGAGGGTGGTCACCTGAGTAAAACCCCATAAAAAATTTGCGGCGGTCTCACCCCCATAAAAAGTTATGGGAGTTGAAAGTTGATTATTTTGACAATTTTCATACAATATAATTCAAATAAAATTCAATAAAAAAATTATTTTCAAGCGGGTGGAGGTGGGTGATTGAAAGAGAGTCGTCACTTGAACAAAACTCGATAACCTAACCTAACCTATTGATAAAGATATTTAAATAATGTTTTATATAACTTTCTCAATATTTTTATGTATTTTTCATTAGTTTTACCTTCGAATATTGTTTAAGAATGACTATATAAATATTTACATGCCTGAAAATGTATAAAAATTGGCATATTTATTAACTTTGAACCCCCATAACTTTTTATGGGGGTGAGACCGCCACGAACGTTTTATGCTACAGTGGTGGGGAAGACCTCCTCTTTCGATCACCCCCACCCCGAAGAGGGCGGGGGCCATCATCTAGACCTTTACCGAACAATCAATACGTGCAGATGACAATTTCAGCAAAATTCACTGTCCTCCCCCCCTGAATTAATACTGCTAGGCCCAAATGCAATATCAATTCTCCGCCACTGGCACTAACGGTGTCCAAAAAGAGCTATCGTCTTTATTGGTTTGTAAAAGCAATTAAAATGCCTCTCTTATTGTATTCCGTGTTCTGTACACCGAAAGCGTGAGTCATACGATGTCTGTTCTATTTGTCTATTCACTTATTAAAAACGTTAAATAATAATTATACAGTGGTGTTGGCTAATGGATAATGGCAAACACCCAGACACACCGTAGGATTGCAATTCTATTTAAGAGGGCAATCACTTCAAGACCTATTTAAATTCGCAGAAGTGGAAAAAAAGTACGTTACAAGTTACACAGGTTTCTTTCCTGTTAAACGTATGTAGGCAGTTATACACCACCCACATTAAAAAAGTAATTAAGGCAATTACCTGCGACAAAAAAAATACGTATCGGTATGTAAGTAAATGGAAAGCCGTTAAAGAAATGTAGTTTAATTTGCAATATTGTATATTTTTGTAGGTAGAGAAAATCGAGTAATTTTTAAACCAAAATACGTCTGTATTTTTCCGATTTTTCGTTTTAATTTCCCGAAACCTCATCAGACAAGCTGATGTGAAATTTTTTGTATTAGACAAGGAGAACACTGTTCCTCCCTACAATAAGGATTAAACTGGCGACTAAAAAAGTAGCATGCCTGATGAGGCACGAAACGTCGACAGTATTGTCTGGCTCTTTTTTTAAACAAAAACACTCACTTTGTTTCTTATTCACAAGTTTGTATCAACTTCCTTGTTTTTTAGTTACATAATTCTTAACAGAATTCATTTTCCTGCTAAAGACCTTTTTTGTCTACTTCACCCTGACCGCCTCCACTTTCCTTCCAACGCACGTGTCCGTCCTTCGCGAATTCAACTAATTAAATATACCGGGATGTGCATTTGGATAAAGTAATTTACAAAAAAAAAATTGGACATCTTCACCCTCTCTCTCTACCTTCTGTTCCTAGTTGATTGTCCCCCTGCTTAGAACCGCATAAATGTCACACATATTCTCGGGATGATGTGACGTTGAAATATCATGCCTATATTTCCAACTATACCACTACAACCTTCACAAAAATACCAATGAACCGTTTCAATTGATCATTCCGTTCAAGTATGCTTTTTTTTCAATGGAAATCCCCGATATATCACAATGGAAACTACAGTAATTTACGGGACCGTTCGATAAACAAATCGCAAATTACAGTGTAGGTAGGTACCTGCTGTACAATACAACACGAAGCATCAATACAAAGGAATATTTGGTACTTTGTTCTAGACAACTTAGAACAACTTCTAGGCTCGTAAATAATATCAGTGGTGGAATCCCTTCTTTTATAATTGAAGTTGTAGGTAGATAAATAGGGAGACAACGGCGTTATACCGAGAATAAATTAGGCAGGCTGGATGAATTACAATTCTAACTAGAGGAAAGGATTTCCTGAAACAGATGAGAGCACGAGATCCTTTTTCCAATCTGTTAATAGACCAGAAAAGAGGGCACATTGAATATACAATAAAATAATTTTATTATTAAAGGGTGTGAGTACACACTTTCTCACTAATTTTTGTACACAATTGTCAAAACGATTGAGATATTTGCTAAATTGTGACCCCAATTTTCCAATGTTTTCCTCCATACCCCTTGGGAGTGTTCAGAAGGTCTTCGTTAATGGAGAAGCGGTGTCAACTCAACCATGTCATAAATAGTTGATTGAGTTAACTATCACTTGGTGAGAGGTCTGGATTATACGTGCATGGATATAATGTATACAACCAATTATACATCTAAATGTAGACATTTAGACCCGACTGTTTAGTACAACTTAAATACGTCGAAATTGATGAATTTTGAAGTGAAACTTCTTTACGCACGCTAGGGTAAGTTTGTTTCATGCGAGTTGCTATGTAACGAAATCATGCAACGCATTTCCCCCGCTATCTGTCCCTATGTGTGCTTAGATCTTTAAAACTACGCAACGGATTTTAATGCGGTTTTTTTTAATAGATAGAGTAATTCAAGAGGAAGGTTTATATGTATAATACATGCATAATATAGTAGAGAAACACTGATAATTTTAGAGGTTTGTAATGTGATATCGTAAATAAACACATTTTTTTGCGCTTACATTGCAAACGCTGGCTGAACCCTACGAGATAGATCAAAATAACATACTACAGTATTGTACACCTTAAATAGGTCTACAAAAAAGTCCACGATGGTATATGTCTATCTCTTAGGGATAACCCACAATAACCATTTTTTAACCTTTACTTTTTACGAGAAACAATGGCTTATTTACAAAGCGATTTTAAGTAATACAGCATTAATCCCTATCCAATTAAGTACTTTTAAATACATTGTGCATTTAATATAGATCAATATGGCCCTTTACAGCATGTAATTTAAATAAATATTTTCGAAGATATTACAGACTTGAAATGCAGGGACATAGCGGTTGCGGCGGTACCGGCCGGTTTGTATTGTCTAATGACAAAAAAGCTGTGAATGTTGTATATAAAAAGACACTCTATAGTATATTTACTATCAGCATTACACCCGTGCGAAGCATAGTGTACAAATCCATTAATCCAATTCCTTAACCCCTATCCCGGTATGTTTATGTGTTTGAAGAAGTTTCACTTCAGTAGCGTGTTCTATAATTACACGTTGTATTTTTTTAATTGCAGATCCTGATTTAAAAGCAATTCACCTTGTATATGAGCATTCCGATTCTACTTTTGTCGACCTTTTATTATCTATTCATCCGCGTCGCGTAAAAATAGATACTGCGACAAAATGAAAGGTGCACGTCTGCATCATGCAGTGCCATTCTGTCAGACATTTCTTTTCTATTTAATGAAAGTAGCAGATAGTAAAACGAGACTTCAATCGTCTCGACAGCCATTCTATGCTCCACTTGGGCAAACTAATGTTGCATGTGTGTATGTGTGTGTAGTGAGCATCGTCTAATCACTTCCAAGTGAGTTTTAAGTGTTTCTAAGCAAGGTTAATCGCCTCCTGCTTTCTAAATTTGCAAACAACAGTCACATTCATAAACATTACACTGTACGTACAACTGCTAATTGACCTGGAGATGAAAAAGAACTAATTTCTAAACCAAACGGCAATGGAAAACGGTGATTGAACTGTGCAAGCATGTAACAGGAAAGTAACCAATAACTCAATCGCCATCGGTGCAAAAAACTCATTCCTCTATTAGTCACACCAATAACCGAAACACATTCAAAAATTTAGCGTTTTTGTTTATTGTTTTGACGTCCACATATGAAGCAAGTTCGAAAATTAAAAATTACTGGACAGTACAGTAATGTGGACTTTGACCTGAAGATTTACTAGCGTAGATTCTAACATCCGCGATTTTTTCCTAAAGATACCCACAGCAATCTTACCGTCAGGTTTCTAGTTTCCAACAAATAGATTTCAATAAATTAAAGTCTATGAATTAGCTCTTATCGTTAAATAGAATTTCGCCATCATGAACAAGTCGATAATATGAAATATCTGTCCAAAAACTTCAACCGCCTAAAATAAATCGCAAATTCGATCTCGTCGAAAAAACAAACTTTTGGGTGTTTTATTCCTACCAGCCACTAATGCTGGTGGACAGAAAGTCCCTACGGACAATGCCGGAAGGTGGCGAGAAAGGCCCTCTTCAGCCACCTTTCAGGAATCGTGAGAATGGGTGGGTGGCGGTTCAGGCGAGAAAGATGAGACGGACGAAATGAAGACAGAAGAGAATGAAAGATTATTTGAGGAATATTACTGCCCCAGCATTTGCCTAAGCGATTCGAGGAAAATACAGAAAAACTATAATCACAGTAGCATACCGGGTTTTATGAA